CTCGAAAATCTAGAAAATTCTAAAAAATAGAAAATGGCAAAAATCAAAAACATTACAGACTTAATTTGGGTTAAAAATGAAGAAGTTATGATCCTTTGAAGTTTGGGTAAAAATGAGGTTGAAAAATAGAATAGTGCTCGAGCGCTGACCAACTATGCTTGAGTGCTATCATTAGTGCTCGAGCCCTAACTCAAAATTTTCAAGTTTTTAAGCGCTTAAAGCCTAAGAGCTATGAAATGGTTCCCAAACCTCCCATGGTCCTTGTAATGTATATATATATATATATATATTAAAGTTAGAAGTTTTTTTTCAAAAGTTGGTGGGCCCCACCAATAAATTAAAACATAACAAAGGCCATAAGGCCATTTCGCAGATCATTAGCTTCTCTCTATCTCTCTGCTATATCATTCTCACCTCAGCAGTTTCTTTTTTTTTTTTCTTTCTGTTTGCAAGTTCAAGACTTGATCTAGCTTCACTCAATTGGAATTTGGTAGAACCTTGTGAAGCAAAGTCGGAGAGCACGGTGAGATCTACGTGTGGGTATCAGTAATTTCAACTTTAGTGCTCTCTAGGGAGTTCGAAATTCTAGGGTTCTTGGGATCAAATTGGGGGTTTTCATCAATTTGAGGTAGGGGTGCTCTAATCCACTAATTCTTGGATTTCTTGTGAATTTCCCCTTTAAATTGGCTCTAAGCATGATTAATTTTAATTTTTTGTGATTATATTTGTTAGGGTTATTTATATTGATGGTGATAAATGTGCGTTGTGTGTTAAATGGCTTATTAGTATGATAATTTTTAACTTGTAAAGAAGTATGCTTAGTGTTGGTTTGTTTTCATGATCTCAATTGCTATAAATATGGAAATAAATTTGTGAATTGTATATTTAAATTGCTATCAAAATGTGGGATGAGAAAATGAATTGTGTACTTTTACTAATTTATTAATTTATTTGAACAAGTATGTGGGAGCATTATAGTGGAATTGATGAAATGAAGCATGGAGCATTCATGCATCTATTGGGGAAGAAATAAGGGGAAAAATGTTTTAAAATAAATGAATTGTTCTTGGAAAAAAATATTTTTTAAAGGAGTTTGCGAAAAACCGGACGCCTAGGAGGCTCCTAGTGGTCCGTGTTGTTAGTATAGTCTAGAATGGAGTATGGTTGAGCTAACTAGGCCGGATGCGACGCCTTGGAGGTGCCTTGGGTCGGATTACACTAACGGTTTGTTTGTTGAAACGGAATTGTTTCGGAAATGGGGAGCGACATATGCATAATATTGCACTTCATGGAATTTTAGTAAAACGGTGATTGGTTGATATTTGCTACATATTTATTGTTGTGGTTGAGAATATGTATTCCTCATGGTATGACTCCATTTCTTTTTACCTCTTCCTTATGTGAATTCACGGGGTCGTAAGAAGTGTGTCTTAGACACTTCCTACTGAGGTTATGCTCACCCCATTATTTTTAACTTCTTTCAGGACATGGAAAAGAGGTGGCGGACGACGATCCACCACGATTTTAGACGAGCACGGAGACCTATTTTATTTTTGCTATCTTTTGTATTAAAACTCTCTAATATTTTATACAATGTAATATTAACTAACTCGTAAAACTTTAGTTTAATTAGTATAATGTTGTAAGTTATGGACTTTTAATTCTAGCTACATTTTATGGACTGTAATTTGATGTAACTTAAGTGGGTTCCATGTTCGGATGAGATGGAGGAACGGGATTTTTGTATGTATGTAGTCATTTTAAAAATGTGATATAATATCTGTATTGTGCGTTGGGACAGGATATGTTATTTTTGAGGCCCAGTGAGGTTATTGCATCTATTATTGTATTTCAACAGGTTGTAGAGGGACTTTTTCTGCGGAGGTCATGCTAAAATTTTTATAGATTTTATTATTATTATTTTGGTATCTTTTCGGGTCGTTACAGTCCTTAATTGGCCACAAACCTACCCCGAAACACGCATTGATGGAGTATAGTGGCATATAACCGCGTACGTGAATAAATCAACATAAACCCAACATTTGAAGGCTCATAACCGACTACTTCTTTGAAAACATAAACTTCATTCTTAGCTGGAAACATTTATTTGTGTACAAACAATAACGAGCTTAGTAGATACATGCCCAAAGTGGTGGTAAGATAACCAAAAGAATATGGTTACAATGCCTTCGTAATCGATTACAAATTTGTTTACATGTTCATGAACAAACTTTACAAAATACTACTGATTACAAAAGAAATCAAAATGATCCCTTTAATCTCGTCTAAGCTTGTGGAGGAATATCATACCCCACCTCATTTCCGTGACCTGAAAAATATATATGGTAGAGGAATAAGCATAACGGCCCAATAGAGATTGCCTAAGTGGTATCTCCTCAAGCAAAGTAAATAACCGCATGTTTTGCACACAAAGAATAGAAAAGTGATAACGGGATCATGCTAGGGGTCTCACATATGCCATTTATATCATCAAATCATCATTAACAATCTCAAGCAATACAATGCATGGCATGCACAATGCAACCGCATACTACGCACACACCCTCGCATATCCACATACCCATGCCGAAAATGTACTAATTTGTCGGACTTTGGGTACCTCCCGCTGTACTTCAGACAAGGGGTGTTTGAATTCAAATAAAAAAATTTGAATTCAAATGGAGTTGCAAACTACTTTCAACCGTTGTAAGGTTTCTCTATAAATAGTGCTGGGAGGGATTTGCACAAGAGGTCCACGACCACAACAAGATTTCATTCTTTGCAATTTACTTAGTCATTTTACTTAGTTTTTCCTTTGCATTGTATTTCTTTTCTTAGGATTAGTATAAAATCCAACATATCTTGTACTTTGTATGAGAATCCTACTTATGAAATAAAAGTCAGACGCTTGGCTTCAGTCCCCTCTACTTTTATTTTATAAGTCTCTTGGAAAAGATAAATGCTTGTGTAGTTTGTTTTACTCCCTTCATCCATTCCACTTTTAGTGTTGAAAGTTCCCTTTATTGAGGCGTCGAAGAACCTGAAGGAAGGGGTCATTCGTGCCTTCCAACAATCGTCTAATCCACTAAGGGCCAATTTCAGATTCGGTCAGCGCCAATAATAGTTTGACTATCCAACCACTTGAGTCTCGCCCCTACAAAAAAAAATTAAAAAGAAAGCTAAACAGCCTTATATGCACAATATGAATAAAAAGGAGGGGTGTTTTTTGTTTTTTTTTTTTTTTTTTGGCTTTTGAATTTTGTAATTAATTATAAACCAATTTCACAAGGTTAATTACAAAATTTCCAATTCTTCTACTAAATTAATGATTAATCAATATAAGCATATAGTCTTATAGGGTTGTCTTGCTTCATGTTTAGTGTGCTTGTTCGTGCAGTTAATCTCGGTTTGATATCGAATGAACCTCTATGAAAATTTATTTGATGAAAAAATAAGTGTAAGCTACAAACTCAACTAAGAATCTTGTTCACTTGAATATTCCTGCAACAATTACACTTTAACCTTACAATATATATATATATATATATATATATATATATATAGTTAGAGGGCAGCTTTGGCTGAGGCAGGGGACCAATCCGGGGGGGGATTTAGATGCATGCCTAATTACTAATAAACGGTGGAGTTGTGTGGATTTTTTAAAAGCGTCAAAGGTCTTACGTAAGGGTATCACACTATCACCAACCTCCCCAACCCTAGCACTTAACATTTACCCAATATATATATATATTGGTGATAGTGTGATACCCTTACTAAACTATTAAATCAAATAACTTTTTTTGAATAACAAAAATGAAATAATATTAATATCCCTAACTTATTGTGAATTAAGAAAAAGACATAAAAGAAAGGAGTGCATTATCAATTTATCATCAATGGCATGTGGATATTACCTCCCCATAGTATCTCCTTATCCGAATCTTACTTATTAGTCGTCCTTTCTTTCAAGTCAATGCTATTCATCATTAATAAAAATATCATAGCATTCTTGTCATAACTAATAAGAAAGATTCTAATGAATTAGGTTACATGTCTCTAATGAATAAGAATTTTAATTTACATAATTATTTAAAAAATTGTATAATTATATATTTGTATAATTATATATTGATTTGATATATTTTTATTAAAGTTAAATTTAAAAATAAATACCCAATGGTAATTGAAATATCGCAGAAGATGATATATATATATATATATATATATATATATATATATATATAAAATTGTATAATTATATATTTGTATAATTATATATTGATTTGATATATTTTTATTAAAGTTAAATTTAAAATAAATACCCAATGGTAATTGAAATATCGCAGAAGATGATATATATATATATATATATATTGTGATTGACAAGAAGCTCACACACTCACTTTACTCTTTTAAAAACTCGAATCGTAGCCACTATTTTGAGAGGTAAAGAAGATACTACTGATACTTTTATATATAATAAAAATATATATTAGTAAAGAAGTAAATTGGAGATACAGGAGAAACCTAGAATGTGTTTGGCGTATGGAATTAGAGAAAAAATTTCACTTTCAATAAATGATATTAATATCTTTTATTATTGTCACATTGAATTCGAGATTAAATCTTGAATTTTAAATCCAGATTAAATCTTGAATTTTAATTTGAGATGTATAGCACTGCTTATGCTAAATATCTCACCGAGTCGTATTCTTTAAAATATGAAGCATGTCACCAAATTCCAAATAGCGGTTGAGTGTTTTGGAAGACAAAATATTCGAGGGAAATACAATCTTTCCTCTGGCAAAGCTATCACGAGAGACTGCCAGTTCTCTTGAATTTGAAAAAAAATGAGAGGTAATGTGTGGCAAATGAATCAAACTTGTCATGTGTTGTTTGATTGCCTAGTGACTCAGTAAAGGCAATTCTTGAGGCGAATTGTACCACACATATACTAAGAATTTTATTCAATTTACACACACACACACACATAAATATATTCAGTAAATGCATCTAGCAATCCAACAGAAAAAAGAATATAAATGAGTGTAAATTGAGGAACAACCACCATCCAGCTTATTGTCATTGTCTTCATCACATATGAAATCATCTCCATCTTTGTCTTCATCAAGATCTCTTAACCACTGAGATCTCCTAGAATATGATTGAGGAAAAACCTCCATCTCATATGTGGAAAGAGTGTCCTCCTCGTAAGACCAGTAATGGCTTGATCCTGCAGCTTCATCATAACATTTTCTTTTACCCTTCTCTCCCAGACGGCTGAGTCCTGCCTCGTCATTGTGTTCGCGTTTTCTTTTTCCCTTGTTCCATTCATGTTGGCGTCCTTCATCGACAACAATGACACTATCATTACAAGACGAAGAGCTGAACTGGTTCACTTTTCCCACAATGTTCATCTTGGTACGCTTCTTATCTTCAATATACACGGGAATGACTCCACACTTCTTCACAATCAGCTCGCAACATGTGTCTATTTCAATTTCCACTTCGTCTCCGCTATCCACCTCAAACCTTCGAAGGGGTACATAGCCCAGTGATAGGTGGTCATTTGGGGTGGGTGCTGCAGTATAAACCGGAGTACGGATACATGTAAAAAACAGATCTTTGGTTACATTTGTAACATAAACAATATAGTCTGATGATCCTCTGCTTCCCATTTCGAAATCATGTGCTGCATATATAACACATAAAACGAAGCCTTTCATCATATTCATACCTGGAGGCACCTGAAATGACAAAACATTACCCATCCTCTGATTTCTGAACCAATCAGGAATTTCGGACCAGGGGAATACAGCATCATCGAATTCATTACCCCCATATCTTCCATACCATCTCTGTACAATTAAAAGGATAATTTGTGAGCTAGACAGCAGATAGACACACGCACATGTGTACGAATATATACATTGGGGGAGAGAGAGAGAGAGAGAGAGACAGACCCGTAGGAGGTTCTCCGTGAATGGGAATTCAGCTAGTTTGCTGCTATCGGATAGAAGTATCAATGGGGCGTGTGAGAAGTTTGATAGATCCGGCAATTTTTCCAATGATGTATTTGGAGCAGAAAAGAAGGTCAGACTTGATGGAAGCTTAGGAACTGATCGAAGGTTTGTACACCGTTCTAAACGGAGGGTTTCAAGCTTAGAAAGTCTGCTGATGCTAGTTGGTAGACTGAAAAAATTGTTGTCACCCAAAGCCAAATATTGTAAAGAGGATAGACTTCCAATGTCTTCAGGTATTGCACCTTCGGATAGATTGCAGTGGCTGAGGGACAATTTTGTAAGAGAGGTTAACCCCAACAATGAATTTGGCAATAAAGTAGTGGGATCAGGAGATTTTTTTGGGGATACCCATGATGAAAAGAGTGAAAGAAATGATTTTGATGGTGATCCCTTGTAGCGAGATAGAGATAAATATTGAAGGTTCTTTAAATTCACTATAGAAACTGGTACTTGTCTTACAGCAGTCCTCCCAGCAAGAAGCACGGTTAATGATTTGATCTCCCCTATCTCTTCCGGGAATTCGTCAAATTTCAAGCAGCCAGAGAGCACAAGAGTTTCAAGAGATTTCAACATGCCGATGCTCCTTGGGAGATTCCTAAGGTTTGCACAGTCCTTCAGGTTCAGTAATACGAGTTTGTCTAGGCTTCCAATGGATTCGTCAATCATTTTCAAACTTCTACAATCTTCAAGTATCAATTCCTCAAGGTTTGGGAGTGTTGAAAAGTGAGTAGTGATTCTAGTCACGAAATGAGAATGACTTAGATCAAGGATTTTCAACTTTTCAAGAACCTATTGAAAGAAAGATTCAGAGTCAAATTAGTTCAAAGTGAGATATAAACAAGTACTCCAGTACTTAATTTGAAGTGTAAATTATACCTTGTTACCCTTCCAAACTTGTCTCAGTTTACTATACTTCATGTCAATAGCCACTAACATCTCTTGACTGAAGTTACTTGGCACAGAATTCAGAGGAAATCCATGCCAGCATAGCCATCGCAATTTTTCGGAAAGACATTCATAACCTCCAGTGATGTTTACATTATTGAGCTGTAGCAATCTTAGATCGTGCATCTTCTTAAATGCTTTAGCTCCAAAACTTACCTTTATTGGTCCATCCATATTTAAGGCAAGGCCTTCAATTTTGTTTGTTCCCTGATAAAAAACATAGCACTTGGTAAAAATTGAGAAGCATAAGCATTTTTGCTTGTGCAAGTGAAAGTTGTTTGATATAATAAGCATCAGCATTAAAGTTTATATAATTCAAATTGCGTTAGTTTCTTCATTTCAAGTTTTATTCTTGAAAACAAATTCATTCATTGAACTTGATCTTACCGTGCGATTTGTCAGTACATCAAGAGCATCCTCATAGTGCCACAATCTGCTACGTTGTCCAAGGTCATTGGCAGATTCTTGACAAACTATTTCTCTTCCCATGTCTCTGAGCAGATCATGCATCATTAGCTTGTTGCCTTCGTTTATTGTTACAAGGTGCCTACGATTGAGGACACCAATACCGCTTGTTGCGAATAAATCACAGCCATCTAGTACTTTTGTGACATAGTCTTTATCCATTCCAATAAAGAAACAAGCAATGTCAAGGAATATCTTTTTGTCATAAGAATCCAGTGCATCAAAGCTTATTTTAAGATTCTCTTGAATTTTATCATGAGGGGTTTTTTTCATTTTCTCCAATGTACTTTCCCATTCGGCTATGCCTTCGAACTCTCTCAGCCATGAACCCAAAACTTCAAGTACTAAGGGAAAACCTTTGGAGTAACGTACTACATCATTTGAGAGATGAGCATAACCTTCCTTCGGATCAATTCTCTCGAAGGCATGCCAACAAAAGAGCTCAAGAGATTCAGTTTCATTCAATTCCTCAGCCATATATATGTCATTTACTTTAATTTGTTTTAGCAAATGCTCGTGTCTCGTTGTTATGATAATTCTACTTCCCGGACCAAAGCAAGCTTTTCTAGCACTCTCCGAGTGACAACTAAATGCAATTAGTTGGTCTAGTTGATCCACATCACTAAGTACAAGAAGAACCTTTCTATTGCATAGCCTCTTTTTTATCACCTCGATTCCTCGATCAACATTTCCCACATTTCTCACTTCTGTCTTTAGTATCTCAGAGAGAAGCTGCTCTTGCAAACAAATTTGATTCTTATGCTGCTTAAAATTCTCTCTAACATTTGCAAGAAAACTTTTGCATTCAAAAGCATAGAAGAAATAATTATAAACAGCTTTGGCAATAGTTGTTTTACCTATTCCTCGCATCCCACATATCCCTACCGTACGGACATCATTAGTTCCAACACTCAACATGTTTTTCATGTATTCCAATCGAGTATCAATTCCAACGGGGTGGGTGGCTACATGTAAGTATGTGTGATTCAATACACTCAAAATATATTTGACAAATTTCTTGATGAATTCTCCTTCATGCCTGTTCATATGTTTCGAGATAAAATTAATTTATATATATTAGGCAAAAATCAATAAAAATGAGTGAAAATATTAAGAATAAATTATTCAAGAAACTCAAATCAATTTTCGGGACCTTCAACTACAAAAAGAATGGGAGGAAAGTAAAATGAGTAAGAAAAATAAATATCTTCATAAAAAATCATATTCCATCCCCACAATTATCTATGATCCTGGTCGGCAACAAAATATTAATACAAAAAAAAAAAAAAAAAAGAAAAAAAAAAAAACGAAAAGAAAAAGAAATTTATTAACGGAAAACTTTAATATTTTAACAAATAAGAGATTTATTAACATTACCCGTCAGTGTCATCTAAATCCCACCGGCCGGCTAATTTCCCTGCCTCAGTCAAAGCTGCCTTCCATCTTGACACCTTGTCTTTGTCCACCTTTTGATCATCATGTTTCACAAAAGCTTTCTCAAAATCACCGGTTTGTTCCGCAACCTCTGATGGTTTGACTTTGTAAAATACGGGTAGCACCCATTGACGTCGAAGTTGCTTCCAGCATTTCATTATCTCCACAAGTTCATCTAGACACCATTTGGAAGTCGCGTAATTTCTAGAGAAAACAATAATGCAAATATTGGATCCACGAATTGCTTTCAAAAGCTCCTGCGAGATTTCTTCGCCTCTTTGCACATCATTTTTATCCCGGAATGTATTGATTCCGGCATCGTTAAGTCTGGAATAGAGGTGGTCCGTGAAGTTCTTACCAGTGTCGTCGCCTCTATAACTTACAAACACATCATACCTCCATTGTTGAACTGGTTCAGCGGGGGAAGAAATTTGATCTCTGCTTAACTTTGACTTTGCCATGGAAAAATTTGATCACAGAGATAGAAGAGCTGATTGGTGAGCCAAGAGAAAGAGAGTACTTTATAAAGTAATTTTTAAAGCTCATTTTGAGCCCTTAGTCAATAAATTAAATTATTAAAATTTAATATATAAATATGTCCCTTAAACATGCAAGGGAAAATTTAGGAAGGCATGTGGCAATTGCCTTGGCACCTACGGCGTAAAAGAGTCCGTCATCGATGAACCTCACATAAGTCATAGAAACATCCCCTTAACAATGTTAGAGATTTGTTTGATTTTACTATAATGCCTAAAAACAATTGACTTATAATATTATTATTTTAAAATTCATTGTAGGGGTAAAAATGTTTATTTAAATTTGTGTTCGCTGATGTTTGCGACAGTCAGAAAGACAAAATCTAACAATAGGATCAAAATATCTAATATGTTTTGAAAAAGAAACTAATATCAAAACTCATACAAAAGTAATAAGACCCAAAATTCTAATATTGACCCTCACAGGAAACTTCTGCCTACTAATTTCCATCAAGTAAATTATGATCCTGTCACAGAATATAAGATAGAGTTATGGAGTTTCCAATTATTTGTTTTTTACCATAATGCCTTGGAGATTGTGGCTTTGTTAAGCTGGGCTTTGATGCCTACCCTTTTACTCGGTCAAATTATCGACGATAGGTTTGGAATGAGCATTTGGAACTATAAATCTAAAACAAAAATTGTAATGTTTATGTTTATATATATATATATATATATATGTGTGTGTGTGTATTAAAAAGGTTGGGTGAGATTTTTTTGTTTTGGTGTGAAGGGACCCACAATTGTTTTTAAGCTGTCATAAGACCGCATTTTTTTTTTTTTTGCTCTCTGATATCTCACTCTCTCTCCCATTTGCCTGCTTCTCTCTTCCTCTTAGTTTTCTTTTTTTCCTTTTTCCACTTCAAGGCTTCAATTCTTGATTCCTTCTTCAATAGGTAGTATTTTTAAGTGCCGTTTGTGGCTATTCGAAGCTCACGGCGAGGCCTACAAGTTGATAGGAGCAATTCCTTGGTTGGTGCACCATAGGAAATTTGAAATCCTAGGGTTTGAGGTGAAGAAATTGGGGGTTTTGCATAAAATTAAGGTAAGGGTCTTTAATTTGCATTTTCTTGTTCCTTAGTGAGTTAATTCTTGTTAATTGATGTCCACATGCTTAATTGAAATTAATTACCTCTAGAATGATTTTCTTGTGGGTATAAAGTTCATGATTATATGTGTAATTGTTGATTCGTATAAAAAACATTCTTAATTATTAATTTCATTATATTATTGTGTTGACAAAATTGTTAGAAATGATACATGGAAACTTGTGAAAATTTCCTTAGAATTATTGTCATGCTTCATTATTGATTTCTTTATGTTATTGTGTTGACAAAATTGATAGAAATGATACATAAAAACTTATGGAAATTTTCTTAGAATTATAGTATGCTTAATATGTTAATTTTTTCATGCCTATGATGCTTAATAATTTATTGGAAATTTTATGTGGAAGTATGCTAATTGTGTGATAATAATTCTCTACATTTTCATAATATTAAAAAGATATGTGATATGCATTCATAGCATGGGCATGAAAAAAAAAGGGTACAATGATTTGATAAGAATGAAAAAGGAGATTTTTGGGGAGAATTTGATGAAACGGTTTTGAGAAAACTCGGTTGCCACCGAGTCACGAAAGGGCCTGTGTGTTAATATAGCCTAGAGGGAACTAGGGAGATTGCCTTAGCGTGGTTGAGCTATCTAGGCCCCAAATGACGCTGCGGAGGTATCAAAGGTCAGGGACAGTAGCCAATCATTCTCTCGTGTCACTGCGGTGTCACCAAAGGGTGGGGTATATTAACAGTTTGTGAAGTGATGAAGTTTTCTGAAAATGGGGAGTGACATGCATGACATTGTGTTCATGGCACGATATTCATTTATTTTGAACTTGCAGATTTATATTGTATTTTCCCTGGTTTAGCATGACCCCTCTCCCTATTGTCCTATTTATTATTTGGATTCACGGGGTCACAAGAGGTGCGTCTTAGGCACCACCTACTGAGCAATTTTGCTCACCTTATCATTTAACATTTTTCAGGGCTCGAAAAAGAAGTGGCAGATGACAATCCCCCGCAAGCTTGAAGAAGATTAAGAGTTGTATTTTGTTATCTTTTGTATCTTAGCCCATTTTTGTATAGTCTCAAAACCAAAATGTCGTGTATTCATTTTTGCAAGCTAAGATCATGTATTATAAATCATAACTCTTGTTGGTATTTTGAAGGAAAACAAAACTATGTAATGCTTAAGTTGAATTTGATGACGATGATGGGCTAACTTGAGGAATGTATTATATGTTTTTGTATTGTGTGTTGGGGCAGGTTGGATAGGTCTTGAATGGCCATTACATTTTTTATTTGAGCAGGTTATTGTAGGATCATTTTTAGCAGAGATCATGCCTAATTTTTTTAAAATTGGCATCAGTTTAGGGTCGTTACAAAAACACTGCGAAAATGTTGCAAAAGTGGTATCCCAGTGCGATCATTGCTTAAATCCAGAGGGCTTATTGAGAAAGTTGTATGCCCGTGGTATGGCCTTGAGGATGAGTCAACTGAGCATTTGTTGTTGTGGTGTCCTCTTTCCATAGAGATTTCGAAATTGTTTCCCTTTTTTTGGAGTCAAAGGTTGACGACCTAAATTTGATTAGTTTTGTTTCCTTTTAAGCTCAGTTTGTTTCCATATAAAATATTTTTTTAAAAGTATATATATATATATATATATATATATTATTTTCTGTTTGGTTCTTGTAAAATATTTATGAAAAAAAAATAGAATAAAATCCAACAAAAATAACTTATTAAAATATTGAAATATTAAAAAATATTATTTTACACACCTCATCCAATGGGCTCCACTATAATGATCATGTTTAATATGTGTGTGTGTGTGTGTATATATAATGTTAACTATAATCATCCAATAGACTATTGTTTGTTTGTGGGCCCCACTAGTATGCTTCATTATAAAGGTCTTATGGCTATTACACAGATCAGTCCTTCTTCTTCTTCTTTTTTTTTTTTTTTTTTTTTTTTTTTTTTTTTTTTTCATCTTCAAGGCTTGATTCAAGCCTAACCTTTTGGAGATATTTTGTGCCGTTTGCGGCAAAACGGAGAGCTCGGCGAGATCTACTGTAATGACCCGAACCTGTGGGTCCAAACCGTTAACTGGGTCCTTACCCTGACCCGAGGTCAGCTAGGTCAACACCATCATTTCCTACGTCAATACATGTTACACGAATCAGTCTAGGGGTTCAAACTACACCAAATGAATACCTTACTAAGTTAGTCAATATGCAGATTCAATAAGGAAAGAGTCAGCCGGCTGATGGCCTTGGGTCGGTTAGCTGACAAGGCAGGTTCAGCCGGCTGAAACAATGGTGGAACTTGCATGCTCTCGGGACTTCTACTGTAGCTGTGTCGGTCGACTGATGGGGAGGGTTTGGTCGGCCGAACCTGGAGTTTCGGTCGGGTGATGGTGAGGGTCAACCGGCCGAAACAAGGCCTCTGAACCCTGAACTCACTGGAAAAGCATTCTGGCTGTGCTTTATGCATGCTTAACCCATATCGGACCTGTCTTGTAACCAATTTCTGAATTCACAGCAAAAATATACAACATCACATAGGAATAGATGTTATTAATTTGCCCAAAATACATTATCGTCCTCCCATTCAACACAAACAATTACATCGTATCAATTTACATCAAAATATAGTCAAGTATCTTAGTTATATTACATGGCCACGATTTGCAAAATAAATACTCTTTTCTATAATTTGAGACTTTACAACTGAATGGGCTAAGATACAAAAGATAACAAAAACAAATTCCTAGTTCTCTTTAAGCTTGTGATGGTTAGACGTCCACTACTTCCTTTCCCGGCCCTGAAAAATGTTAAATGATAGGGTGAGCATAAAGCTCAGTAGGTAGTGCCTAAGACACACCTCTTGTAGTCCCGTGAATCCAAACAATGAATAGAACATTAGGGGGGCGGGGTCATGCTAAGCTGGGAAAAAATACAATGTCAATTCCATGTTCAAAACAAGCAAATGTCGTGTAATGGTTGTAATTTATTTATATATGTATAATTGTGTGGTGAAAACAAAAGGAAAAGGAATAAAGAAAAAGAAAATGTTTTTGGTGGTGGGACCTACCACCTCTTTTAAAGGCTAAGAAGCCATTTAGGCCTCTCACTTCTCTTCCTTTCCCGTAACTGTCTCTCTCTCATTCTCTTTCTAAATTTTTCTTTTTCCTTTTGCTTCAAAAATTCAAACCTTGATCTCCCTCACCATTTGGAGTTTTTATATGCCATTTGCGGCAAATTAAAGAGCGCGTTGAGATTTTTGATTGGATCGGAGCAAAGGTGGTTTTGGTACACCATAAGAATTTCAAATTCTAGGGTTTGGATTCGGAAAATTTGAGGGTTTTTTACAAAATTGAGGTAGGGGTGTTCTAATCCATGACTTCTTGGATTTTTATGAATTTTTCTCTTTAATCTGACCTTAAGCATACTTAATTTTAATTATCTTATCCATTGCTATTGTGGTTGTATGTGCTCAAAATGACGAATGTGTTTTACATGATAATTGGGTTATACACATGGCTATTTACATTATTGTGAAGAAGCATGTCTAATTTTGGTATATTGTGTGACTTGTGAATTCTCAATTGCTATGGAAATTGATGTTGTGGTTGTAAAATAATTGTTTGGAATTTTCTATCAAAAAATATATATATATAATAATAATAATAATAATAATAATAATAATAATAATAAAATGATGATGATGTAGAAGAGCATGTAAAATTTTATTGTTGAATTTGGCATTCGGAAGTATGAAGCATTCATGCATTCACTGGGAAAAGTAAAAGGGAAAGGTTTGTTTTAAAAACAAATGAACTTGTTTTTGGGAAAAAAGTTTTTGGAATAGTGTTTGTGAAAAACCTGGATGCCTAGGAGGCGCCTAGTGGTCTGTGGTGTTAGTGTAGTTTAGAGAGGACTAAGGATTGGGCTAACTAGGCCGGATGCGACGCCTTGGAGGTGCCTTGTGGTTGTGGATAGTTAATCAATCCCCCTTTCGTGATGCCTTGGAGGTGCCTTGGGTCAGATTACATTAATGGTTTGGAAGTTGAAACGGAATTATTTCGGAAATGGTGAGCGACATGGGCATGGCATTGCACTTCATTGGTATATATGGTGTATTTGTGACTTGGATAACATTGTGTTTATATTTGACATTGTGGATATGGATTGCATCCCCGGTATAGTATGATCCCGTTCTCTTGATTTTTATTCTATACGTGGATTCACGGGGTTATAAGAGGTGTGTCTTAGATACCTCCTACTGAGCTTAAGCTCACCCCATTATTTTAACATTTTTCAAGTTTGGGAAAGGAAGTGGCGGACGACATTCCTCCACAGGTTTTGATGGGTTAGTGGACTGTTTGACTTATTTTGTAGCTATGATCCATATTATTATTATTATTATTTATAAACCCTAGGATGACACGTACATTATGTATTGCCATAGGAATGAATGGTAACGTCTTTTGTTGACCTCGGGTTCGGGTAAGGACCCGATTAACGATTCGGACACTGAGGTTCGGGTCATTATAAATTTGGTATCAGAGCAATGGTTCGAATACCATTAGGACGACGGGTAGAGGCCTACCTAGGATTGCACGAGAAGTTGAATTGCATGTTTATATGCTTATGTGTTAAGGTGCTTAATTGTTGAAAAGCATGTATAACTGATTATTTGCTTTATTGCCTTTATGTTTACGGTTTTAAGAGACATGCTTCCTTGCTAAGTGTTGACATGGTTATGTTCTTAAATTTTAAAATATGTGTTATATGGCTAGAATGTTTATGTATTAATGATTGAAAGCATGTTATAGGTGATAAGATGGCGAGCTGTAAGTATGGGTTATGGCATGTAAGTGGTGCATTGTAATGTGACGGATAGTTGAGCACGGGTTGTGCAAGTGTGTATTATATGAGGTGATGATGAGGATGAACGGAATATTTAATTTCACATAATAATTTAATGGATTCATTGGTTAAACTTATGTGATAGGACACAGTTGTGTCAAGGGTTATGCTTCGGTTATTGTGTATATATATAAGTATGTCTTGTGTATATACCTATTTTCTTATGTCTTTATGTGGTCAAGCATAGGATGGTTATGTGAGTTTTGACCTAAGTAGGAGAGGAGCTCGGTTGCTCCAGGGTTGATGAGTACTGGTTCTTATCGAACTATAGGTGTTGACTTCTAGCTCATGGATTGAGTTATTGGGTGTGTAGTCATTTTGATCTTCTTATTGCATTTTGTACAATGCTTAGAGCACGACTTTAGAATGGGCTCGCATTTTATGGCATGGTGTCTATGTTGTGTGTGAGTTTCATGCATCGGTCAGTGGGTTCTTGTAACCGTGGAGGTCAGGTGTACAAGTGAGGGTTTCGTAAGAGAAATGTATGACCGTAGGGGTTTAGTGTTTGTGACTTAGGTCACGATTTAGTATTGAGGTTCTCTTCGAACCGGTTTGTGGTGGGTATGCCAGAGGTTACTTGAGTCACGAGTGTAGTCTATGGGTTGTAGACGTGTATTTTGGGTATTTTGGTACAGTCTAAAGAAGCATGTTGGTTTTGATTGTTAAGGGGACTTATTGGACTCTGTAGGTCTAGGGTGACATATGACTGGTTGCGGGATGTGGATTATTTCGTGGTCATGTAAGAGTATGTCTTAGAGATTTGTTAGTCGAGGGTGATTCCCATTTTGGGAAACCATAAGAGCGTGTTGCGGGTAATTGACTCTCGGTGAGTTGATTGCATGGCTTGGTGGATGAGCGGGATTATAGGTTGTCACAGTTGTCGAGAGAGTCTCGAGGTGGTGTATAGTGGATAATTTTAGCTGTGTAGTGTAGGATTACACGATAAGGTAGGTAGTATGGGGTCATTGGAGTACTGGGTCATTTGAGGACTAAGTGAAAGAGGATAGGTACGGTGTATCTAATGGATTGTGTTTTTGAAATTGAAAGCTGTGGACTAGAGTTGAATTTTATGTTGTGTATGGGGTACGGGGAAGTAGTACATGTTGTTTAAGGATCCGAAGAAATAGACAGATGATTAAAATGATTGGAACGAGGGTGATCTCATAGGTCTAGTTGGTAGCCTCATTTGACTTTTATCTGGGCCAAGAGTGTTCTGAGGAACGGTGAAGAGGGGGAGGTAGCGACGTTGAACCTAGGGTGTGAAGTTTTATTGTTTAGGCACGTAGATTGTCTTAGGATGAGTGGTTTGAGTAGCC